TGCATGGTGATGTTTTTCTTCTTCCTTTTCAGTCACGGGTGAGTCACTGACTTGTATCTATTACTGACTTCCAGGGGAGACTCACTTTTTAAAGGTTACTCAGCAATATAAAATTATAGATAGAAGGTGAAAGAGATCGAAGGGCCTCACTTGACAAGAAGGGGAATTGGAGATCAGGGGGCCCGTCCTTAACATTTCTTGGAGGGCTCTGCTAATCTTTGGAGGACTTGTGTTTTTTTAAGCCTATTTTAGGGGTCCCATAAGGACAACACACTAATGGCATTTCAGCAATTGCATTTCAAGAAAAGGCCCTGGTCCCCCTCCCCCCAAAAGGAGAGCCTGGGGGGGGTTGTATATGACCAATGGCTCTCCTCTTTCCCAGAGGAGAGTTATTCATCTGGAGCTCAACTGGCTTTAAACAACATGAATCAATCTCTGAGCTTCCACAAGCTTGGAGAATGAATCTCCACCCTCGTCCTTCACCCAAGCTACAGATATTTGCCAGTATCGCAAACATGAATCAAATATTATGGGTAATATTTGGGTAAATATTGGGTAAAAACAAATCGGGCTTCTCCAATTCAGCCACTTTCCATGCAGCCTGAGACCGCTGTTCTCAGAAGAGGGGAAACCAAGTAAATTTCTTTCAACCTGAAATGAGACCCATTGTATGTGAACAGTTGTGAGAACGATCTATAAACAGTGTAGTTAAGGTGAAAATTGTGGATGTTTTGAAAAGAATGCCTTTAAGAAAGAGAAAAGGCTGAAAAAACTGGGGAAGGAAAATATTATACAAAGGGCTGTTGATTAATCTATTGCAAGGTTATGGCTGATTGTAGCTGAATAAAAGGCTTTTTCTGTTTGTTAAATGTAACAGGAGAACCTGGTTTATTTATCTCAGAAATATATGTGGTCACCAGTCTCAGTCTAGTGACTGGATAACACAATGTAAAACAAAACACTGGGTTGCTGCTGCTGCATGTGAAGCACCACTGATAAGTGTTTATAAGCTACACACTCCGCTGTTTGCAGTGATATGAACAGCACATTAATTTGTTAGTTTGATCATGGCTTAAAGGATAAATCAGTTGGATGAGTTTGTATAAATACTAAGCCATAAACCATGTTTTACAGCAAGCTACGCTGGCTGGTTTCACCAACAGAAGAAGCCACACTATAGTATTTTTGTTACATAACCCAAGTCAATGAACTGTTGGCCGTGATAATTACGTCAATTTCATGATGTATTTTGTGATATTGATGCCAGCTCCAAATCTTATCCCCATGCAGGTCAGAGAAGGACTGGCTGCCGCAGAGGGCAATGGCTAAGCCCAGCATTCCCACCACCAGCAAACTCTCTTTACCAAAATGTATAGGAAGAAGCAGCAGTGCAGATACTCAGGGACCTCGTATTCATCCCTCCCTTTCCATCCTTTACAAAATCATCTCTGGATGATTCGTTGCTTTATACTGCAGGAAGGCTGGTGGGATGAAGCATCAGTGACTGCGAGGATTGACAGGGACAACTTATTCCAAGGAGGAGGAGGAATGTAAAAATAGCACACACCTGTTACAAAGCTTATAGTATATATTTCTGATTTTAGAAGGAAAAGATCCCAGTCAAGACATCAGTTATAGCTCTATGTTGTAATCATTGTGGATAGCAAAATTTTAACTGTTATTTTAGTTAAACTATACAATCAGTTTGGTCAAATATTATTCATTCATCTCAGTCCATCTTAATCTGGCTTTTTATAATCTAGACAAGCTTTGGATAATATAGTGTACATTTAAAGTATATTTGTTAACACTGATTTGTTAACACTAACTCAAGATAGATTAAATTACATCATATTAAATAAGGTCCACAACAAAGAAAGACTGGCAACTAATGCCAAAAATAACAACAAAAAAATTCTGTCAATCTGTAAGGAACAAGGAGCAAGTCAAGGGAACAACAGGTCCACTAATGGGAGCAAATGGCAAGAAGGTGACCAGCAGCAGGGAGAAAGCAGGACTGCTTAATTCCTTCTTTGCATCTGTTTTTACACAAAAGGAAGAAATAGCCCAAGGCAGGTAGAACAGGTGCACCAGTCAAAATAGGCAAGGACATGGTGAGAGAATGCCTATCCACCCTGCATGAGTACAAATCACCTGGACCAGAGAGTTTGCACCCCAGGGTTCTGAAGGAGCGGACAGATGTGATCTCGGAGCCACTGAGTGTAAGAATCATAGAATCAAGATCACACAAAGTATTAGTACCGCTTTATAAAACCCTAGTGAGACCTCACCTGGAATACTGCAACCAATTTTAGTCATACTACAAAAGATGTTGAGACTTGAGAAAAAGTTCAGAGAAGAGCAACTAAGATGATCAAAGGCCTGGAGACTAAAACATATGAAGACTGATTGTAGGATTTGGGTTTGGCTAGTCTAGAGAAAAGAAGGACTAGGGGACATGATAGCAATATTCCAGTATTTGAGGGGCTGCCACAAAGAAGAGGTGGTCAAATTATTCTCCAAAGCACCAGAGGGCAGGATAAGAAACAATGGCTGGAAACTGATCAAAAGCAACCTGGAATTAAGGAGAAACTTCCTGACAGTGAGGACAATCAACCAGTGGAACAGCTTACCCCCAGAGATCGTGGGCGCTCCATCACTGGAGATTTTCAAGAGGAGACTGGACATCCACCTGTCTGAGGTGGTATAGGTTCTCCTGCTTGAGCAGGGGGCTGGACTACAAGACCTCCAAGGTCCTTTCCAGCTTCTATTCTATTCTATTCTATTAATTCTCTGTAGAATCAGGCTACAGCATAATAAATTGACAAAAGTGAAGAGGGTCTGAATACTTTCTGAATATGCGTATGGAGAATTTGGCAAAACTGTTTTTTGTAAGTCAGTCTTCTGCAGGTCAGGCACAGCTCCTGGGACGTAAGGGAGACATCCAGTTTTCCTGCCAACAGTACAGAAACAATTTGCCATTATCATTTTCTAGGATGTTTTCTTTCCAACTCAGCCTGGTATTGCTTGGTATTCCTTGCAAGCTTGTTTTCAACTTGATAATAAATCATCCTTGAATAATATTATCTGAAGAGATACAGTAATATCCTGACTCCAACACTAGTAGGAAGTATAACATTGGGGAAACATTTACTTTTAAAAAATGGAGAGGAAAACAAATGAATATTTATTTTTATTATTCGGTTAGCAAGCACAAAAATAAATTCTGAGACATACTTAAAATTGCCCTCATCAAATGTATTTAAATAATTGTTTTTACCAATGGAAAGCATCCCACACATCTGCAAACAAAAATTTGATTTTTATTATCTTAGATACAAAATGTTAAGACCTTTCCTTCATCAAACATCCATTTGACTTTAGTAATAGAGCTGTGTAGTGCTTGCCAAATCCTTGGCCATGGGGCACAGCTGTCCTTTTAAATGTTTCTAAGAAGAAGACCCTTTGGCAAGGACCAGATGCCATTTCATCACCAGCTTTCTTATTCCTCTGCTGCAAGTTTCCAGATACTGACCCAGAGTACATAGAGGAAGAAGACTGGAGTTGTCCTTCACTGTGCTTTGTGTATTTTGCATTCATTAATCACACCTGCTTTGCTTGGGCAAAAAAACTGGACTTTAGCCAACCCCAGTAAAATGAAAATAATTCAGGTTAACATATCTCTTAGTAATAAGATCTCCAAATTTAATAGGTCAGGAAAAGTAGAACCAATCCAGAGAAATAAATTCATCAATCTATATCTATAATTAACAAGGTTTGATAGTTACCTTTTCTGTTAAATACTGTAGTCCAAGCCAGTTTCCCATATTCAGATAAAACAAGAAACTAAATTCTTTCAAACCATAAATTTCTTCCAAAAAATAGCTTATCAAAAACTGATAAACATGGCTACCTCTAAACAGTCAACGTCTCTCACATTTATCTCTTTAATCACAGTTTGAATTTCACTGGTAATCTTACATGGTATATTGTGGTATAAAATACAACTTGAAACTTTTCTATCTAAGGGATAGAAGAATACCCTTCAATATTTCTTCACTCCAACCTTCTGCTTTTCCTCACAAGGCAACTGTTGACAGTTTATTGTAGCCAGCCGGCTCCGCCATAACACATACCACCTTTGAGGTGGTATCTCCGAGCACATTTATTTCCCACTTCCAGGTCACGAGACTTTGGACACACAAAGTTCTGGTAGGTAAAAAGAACACTTACTTGAAATGGAACTCAACAATTTACCATTATGTGGAATGAACATAACCTTCACAAGCCCCCATTCCTAAGAGCTGTGCATTTTGATATATAACATAACCTCATGATTCCTATGGGCTTATTTCATTAATGAAAAGTAAATTAATCTAGAATGTCTTCTTTTGTGAGTCTGGCCAGAAGGAAAATAAAAAGAGGATACCATTGCTCACACCTTAAATGAGAAACGCTGTCCTACTGTGTATATGCTGCAGAAATGTATCCAGACAGTTTTCTAGATATTTATATTGTAGCACTTTAAAAAAAATAGAATTAAAAAATATTTTAGGTTTTAAGGAGAGGGGAAAAATACGTTGAAAACAAAAGTGCAAGCAACACAATGAAGGCAAATGATGCTGGGCTCAGAGGAAGGCTGCAAATAGTTGCAGATGGACCATCTCAGATCTCCAGGGATTAAATCAGCACTGAGCTAAGAAAGTGCAATGTCTTCATCTTCAAAACGGTTTCTTCAAACATACTCTAGTCTTCTGAAGGCAGTGTTTGCGGATATTTGAAATAATTCAAGTGATCAGGAAAAGAGCACAATCAACAGGTAGAGGCTTCATCTGAAAATTATTACAGAGATCTGTTCAATATTAAATTTTCAAAACCAGAAATGGAAAATATCTATCAAAACCCTTTGCCTGTTTCCATCACCTCCATTAATAACAAAGCACAATTTTGTCTCTAGGAAAGGTCCATACTGGATTGCTTTTGGGGCGTTTTGTTGATTTTTTTTTAATCAAGTTGGAAAAATATCCAGAAGATCTAATCACAGGATCCATCTTTCCATCCATCTCGCCATCGTTGGTCTACAAGAGAGCAGTCAAATTCAGGCTTTCCCAGTTTCTTATTTACTTCATTATGAATCCGGCAAAACCACTGTGTCAAATCGCGTCTGTTGCTGGCATCAGGTTGATTTTTTCGTATTCTGTGTCAAGGGAAACCAAATGCACCTTTACTTCTTTGTTAAAAGATACACAAGTATCTTTTAGTTCATTGTTAAAAGATACACAAGTCTGCTTAATTTTCACAGAATAAACAAGTCACAGAGGTAGAGTTTCTACTATGCTAAAGTTAAATCATCTCATAGCAGAAAATTAATTCCTTTAAGGCAAAGGATACATAAAATTCAGGCATTCAAAAAAAAACCAACCCCTCACCTATTCCTGAAATCTTCTCCACATTCATCACAAGGAAAAACTTTAGAAAATAATTGGATAAACTGTATCATTTCTTGCTGCTGAATTTTACTGGGCCGGTCAGGATAAAATGCTGCCATCGTGTGTAGAAATGACCATGAACATCTCCCTAGTTCTTCTCTGTCTAGGGGGCAATTAGATGTTGATTCCTGGACACTTGTTTCCTAGTTAGAAGAACACAGCATGTGAGAAAAGGCAGACAAATTGCCTATACATTATGCAAACATTACTGTTTACTTTTTACTGTAGTTTGTTACATAAACCACAATTAGCTAGGAACATGCAACATCCTGAAGCAGGTTCTCAGAAGATAAAGTTTGACAGGCAAGTTTACTTCCTCTTCCTTCTCCTCTGATTCAGGAAGCTCTTCTCACAGTCCTGTTCCAGGACCCCCCTATGTGGGAAGTCACCCCCCCAGAGAAAGAAATATTAAAAAGGCAGAATATTATATTTCCTCAAAGGATCTTATAAAGGCAGAGAAGCATGCCCAGTTTTTCTTAATAGCCCCAAGTCTCCCTCCCCCAAGCAGAAACCAGGTCTGTAGAAATGCAGATATGATAATCCTTTCAGAAAGACAGGCACCAGGAAGCTTAGAGCTGATGGGATTAGAAAGACAAAGATCCCTAGAACTAACAACCCCTCACCCCCAAAAATCCAACACAGGACATAGCCATCAATCACAGTCCCAGGGAAGCAGGATATGACCTTTAGGACATAATAGGATCAACCCACCACCATCAGAATACCAGAAAGGCATACTGAACTTCAGGTCAAAGTTCATGCCATAGGAACAATTCCAAACACAAAAGCCCAAGAAGGTATAAAACCCACCACTCCCTGCTCCATGTGGTCAGCTTTCTCAGAGCCATGCTTCTGTCTGGCTTTGCTCTTCAATAAACTACAACCTTCTTTCTAAAGCAGTCTCCATTTTGTTTATTCCCAGCTTGGATTGGACCCTGATGAAGATTTTTCTTTCAACACCTACATCCCCTTTTAAGAATCCTCCCAAACAAAAGCCACAAGCAAAAGCTGATTCCCACAGCAATTTCTTCTTCTTCCTCCTCCTCCTCCTCCTCCTCCTCCTCCTCCTCCTTCCTCCTCCTCCTCCTCCTTCTTCTTCCATATCCGTTATCGGACGTTGGCGATCATGTTTTTATCAGCAGCCGCACAAAAAAGTGCTGCTGAGTTTTGTCCAAACCAATCCCTTAGATTTTGAAGCCACGATCTTCTTCTTCTGCCTGGACCTCGTTTGCCTTCAATCTTTCCCTGGAGAATTAAATGGAGTATGCCGTATTTTTCTGGGTGTCGCATCACATGTCCGAAATATTCTAATTTTTGTTTTTTAATTGTTTTGATGATTTCCCTTGGCTTTCCCAGGCGGCTTATCACCTCCTCATTCTGATCTTGTCAACCCAGCTTATACGTAACAGCCGCCTGTAAATCCACATTTCAAATGCTTCTAGTCTCTTCAGGTGGCCTTTTGTCAGAGACCAACTCTCTACTCCATGGAGCAGGATAGAAAAAATATATCATCTGACAAGCTTGATTTTCAGTCTTAGGCTTATGTTGTGACTGCAGAAGACCTTTTCATTTTGAAGAATGCTGTTCGGGCTTTTTCTATCCTTGTCTTTACTTCAACGGTCATGTCCCAGCTTTCATGTAAATTGGAACCGAGGTGCATGATCCTTTCAACTTTTTCTAGTGGTATTCCTTCTTAATTTACTGGTGGTAAATTAACGGGTTGTTTGCTGACGACCATGATATTGGTTTTTGAGGTGTTAAGCTTCAAGCCGTATTTTTCAGATATTTCTGTGACTCTGTTGATGAGGAGCTGAAGGTCTTCATGCTTACTGGCAAGCAGAACTGTTATAGTCAGCATATCTTAAGTTGTTGATCCAAATACCGTTTACTTTGATACCAGCATCGATGTTCTCCAGTGCCTCGTTGAAGATTGACTCAGAGTAGATATTGAACAACAGTGGAGACAGAATACATCCCTGTCTGACCCCTCTTCTTATTTCTGCATCAGCTGAGTATTTTTGGCTTAGTCTCACATTTGCTACCTGATGCCAATACAGATTCTTTATTATTTGGATGTCTTTGTCATCTTGTTTCAGGATTTCTAATAGTTTGCTGTGTCTTATTTTATCAAAAGCTTTTTCGAAATCAATGAAGCACATGTAAACACTGTGATTGACATCTCTACAATGCTGTACAAGAACCTGAATGCTGAACAGCACATCTCGTGTACCAAGATTGTTTCTGAAACCAAATTGTGTGTTACCTAGATGCTCTTCAATTTTGTTGTATATTCTTGTGTGAATTATTCTCAGGAATATTTTCAGAACATGACTCATTAAACTTATTGTTCTGTATTCGGTACACTTCTTTGCATTTATTTTTTGGGGGATTGTCACAAAGGTTGATTTTAGCCAATCATTTGGTATCTTTCCTGTTTCATATATCTGATTGAAGAGCTGCAGTAAAAAATTCTTCCCATTGTCTTCCAGCAATTTTAAAATTTCTACTGGGATATCATCAGGTCCTGTGGCTTTTCTTGTTTTTGCTATTTTTATTGCGTGTTCAACCTCTTCCATAGTGATATTTGGTCCAGTTGTTATACTTCCCATATCTATATCATCCCTAGTGTCCTCGAAAAGTTTTTCAATATATTCCTTCCATCTTTTTAGTTTTTCATCCTCACCTAAGATAATTTCCCCCTCTTTGTCAACTAGGTTGTTGGTTTTCTTTTTGTAGAGGCCTACTGCTTCTTTCACTTTTTTGTGTAAATTGAAATTATCATGTATACGTTCTGTCTCTTCTATTTCCTTGCATCTCTTTGCAAATCACTTTTCTTTTGCCAGTCGAATTTTTCTTCTAATTGTTTTTTGCAATTCATTGTATTTTTCTTTGTTTTTATTTTTATAAGATCTTCTTTCATCCATGAGATGAAGAATTTCCTCAGTCATCCACAGTTGTTTCTTGTGGTACCCTTCTCTCTGTTTTGAATTTGTTACCTCTACTATTGCATTTTTGAATTTATTCCAGTTTGCTTCTACATCATCATCATTCAGGTTGTTGGTTTCCCTTAAATGATTTTCTAGTTCTTCTTTAATCTTACCTCCAAGTTTAACGATGAAGTCTCTGTCGATTCTTGGTTTAGCAGGGTTCGGGTTTTTCATCCTTTTTAGTTTCAGCTGGACTTCAGCAAGTAGTAGATTATGATCGGATGGTACATCTGCACCTGGGTATGTCTTTATTGATTTTACTGATTTTCTAAATCTTTGTTTATTGTAAAATAGTCAATTTGGTTCCTTATTACATTATTTCGTGGATCTGCTGGTGATCGCCAAGTATAGAGGCGTCTTTTTGGCAACTTGAAAAAAGTATTCATCACACATTGCCTATGTTCCTTGCAGAAATCTACAAATCTGTCACTTCTACCATTTCTGGTTCCTAAGCCAAAGTTTCCAACTACAGGAGCATCACTTCCTTCTCCCACTTTTGCACTGAAGTCCCCCATGAGTATTGTGATATCATTACTTTTTAGGGTTTTCAGTACACTGCTTATATCTTCGTAGAACTTCTCTAAATCCTCCTCATCGCTATCAGCTGTGGGAGCGTAAACTTGTATAACATTCATATTTACTGGAGTACTATTTATTTGGATCATTATCACTCTATCGGATACAGGAATAAAGGACTTGATGCATTTATTTACACGATTGTTTACAATTATAGCTACTCCATTTCGATGGTGTTTGCTATTCTCACCAGAGTAGTAGATAGTATAATTTCCTATTCTACACATTCCATTTTCAGGTCAGCGCATTTCACTCACTCCCAATATAGAGATATTGTATTTGGACATTTCTTGGTAGTTTCGTAGTTTTGGGTTTATCATGCTTCTAGCGGACCGGGAGATTCTTAGCACCCCTGCCCCATTTAAGGGGTGCCCATACTCGGGGCCATTGTTAGGTTTTGCCGCCATTAACATGATTTTCCTGGGAAATATATAGTGTAGTAGCCTTCCCTTTGCTTTCTACACCGCTGTGTACACGCTGTTCAAGGGGCTGCCACCACACCGTGTGCTGTTCTTCTGAATCCGTTCCAACCAATATGGTCTCCGCCTTCAGTCGATACTGGGGAGCCAGCTGCCACTCACCAGGCCTGTTGGTCCACGGGAGGTATTTGATTCCCTCCAACCCACCATTACAGTATAAAGCCATATAAAGCTTATCAGGTACGCCTGATCTACCAGTTGCGGCCTTTTCTGGACCGGGACGCCTTGCGCACAGTCACCCATGCCCTTGTCACCTCCCGCCTGGACTACTGCAATGCTCTCTACATGGGGCTCCCCTTGAGGAGCACTCGGAGGCTCCAGTTAGTCCAGAATGCAGCCGCGCGGGCGGTGTTGGGAGGGACTCGTCGCTCC